TGAAATTTTCTTATTTATTGTTGTAGTCTTCTTAATTATTGTTATTGTCATCCTGTAAAGCGCTTTGAGAAGCCACCTTTAAAGGCGCTATATAAAATAAAGTTTATTATTATTAATAAAACGTCCACCCTTGCACACCTGATCCAAGATGGCTGCAGTTGCAGGGCTTGACGGGTTCAGTGTGGATTCAGCCCCGAGGTGACGGGGCAGGGATAGCACCCAACGTGTCTGAATCTCATGGCTGCCCATCCCAGGAGCTGCCTGGAAACCTGGAGCTCTTCAAGCCCAGCTGGACATCAAGCCTCTCAACTCATGACTTGCTTTACTGCACCAGTTTTAGCTTCCACCAGCTCTTCGGAGGCCAGAGCTTTGAAAGAGACCTACACATACACCGGCCCTCTGGGACCCCGATTGCTTCTCCATATTATGTGTTCAACTGTCACCAAGCAGCTACGAAGATTCCCACTCAAGCTCATGTGATTTATAGCTAGACAAAAGGTCTACTTCCATGAGGGTGGCAAAACAAAATTAAACGTTGGAAGGCAATGCATTGGAAAACGAGATTAAAAAGCAGCTTGCTACACACCACCTAAATGCACAACTTCAGTCGAGTTCATTCTGTGTGTGGTGTCCTATTAAGAGAACAACAGCAACCTGCGGGGATGTTTGTGACTCAGCGTCTTAGGCAGTGTGAATAATTATAGATATGACTGTTAGTGAAAAGCAAAGCCTGACCTCAAAATCTTCTGTTTTCAAAACCTGGACAAGAACAAAAATGCAAACTTAAGAGTTTTAAAGAACCAATAAACTAGGTCAGATGCCGTTTTTCTTTCCTGATTTTAAACCTAGGTGGTACATTCTGTCAGCAGAAAGACGACGCCTTCAGTAAAAGCTCTATTTTTACCTCTGTCACTGTTTCTTATCATTACAACTGTTTAAAAAAATAATGAAAACAATACCCCCACAAAGGCAAAAATACTTCCCCACAGTGATTCTGGAAGCACACAATCTCTCCCAAGTCAGCTAATTTCACATATTTTTACATTTCTTTGAGTAAGTGACAAACAAGAAAACCACAAGGAAGAATGGGATTGGTGGCCAGAGAGGGGTGAGGTCGACCGAGCTGTGGTCAGCGCAGTGGTCTGCGAGAGGACCCTCCTAGAGAAGAGCCAGACCACATCAGCCCACACCAGCCAATATAGACCGTTACTAGGGGGTACAGCCGACTAGGTGGCTCATATTGAATATACTCCTTTTTTTCTGCAGTTTGTAGGATTTTGCATTGCTTGGTCAGTTATTAATGTTCCTGGTGTCTTTCTTCTGCCCTGTACCCTGTTCTGAATGACCAGGTTTGAGGGGCAGCAGTACGGAACAGGGGTCAAGACTGGACTGAAGGGTGATAGGTTGAAAACCCCGCTGCTGTGCCCTTGAGCGAGGTACTTTACTACGGTAAATCGCTGTGCTGTATGGATGTGCGTTCTCCGCGGCACCCTTATTAATGGGTACATGGTCACAGTTGGTTTATCAGCTTCAATTAAGCTTTATATTAAACAACTCCTGAAAACCTTCAGCACGGCAAATGGTAAACTTCAAGAAAGGCCAGTTAAATATTATTAATATTTCAAATTTACCAGTATTAATAATTGAAAATCAAGGCATAAAACCGCTTTGGTTCATGTACGGCTTTCTGGCTGCTGGCAAACAATCACCTCGCATTGCAAAATTCTGAGGTATTCTTAACTCTAATGACACAAATTGCAGTACACATCACAGAACAGAAAATTAAAACCCCAAACAGCACCAACAAAGCCACTGCACTTTCTTAGCAGATGTTAGACGAGTGATAAAGCACCTAATTCTAAAAACACAGGAAAAAAGTGTGAGCAGCGTGAAAAGTCACTGCTATCTGAAGCAATTTTACACATTTTCAAATAAGCGATGAACCACAGACCACAGCCAAGATGACGATCCATATCAGCCACAACAGTGGCTGAAATATGGATAGAATGCTCCACAGACACACACACAAAGAACTCTAACATAAACCAGCAGACAAAAATCATGAGGAATCTTAAAGAAAGAAAACAAGCAGAAAGATGAGACAAGCGTGAAGCAGACAAATAAAACTCAGGAAGGTGAAAATACCAGGTTAGATCTTGCAGTGTAGTATATTTCTTCCGAACAGTCCAGAAAATCATCACTGTCGGGCTGTTTAGCAGACAGAGACCAAGAAATTCAAGTTATTCATGTCAAAGGCCAGAGCCCAGGAGAAAACACAACAAAGGGAGGAATTAACTGAGAAGACAGCCCAGCTGAAAGAGGCCATGCAGCACTGACTTACTGGGGGAAACTTGCATTCGAAAAAGCTTTGCCTTTCCAATGAAGCCCTTTACCCTGACAAGCCAGGAGCAGCAATGAGCAGGAGTGTTTTGCATGATGGGAAAAATAATGGTTTAAACCCAAGCAAACAGAAGCTGTCTGTAAAACATTTGGACTTCTTCCAGTCACGATAATAACAAAAACACTGAATTGTCATATATAAAACCTCAGATATAAAGTTGAGGTCTTCTACCAGAGGCTTGGCCTGTCTTAGTGCATGGGTGAATTATACATCCTTCAGCTCCTTCAGTTTGACAGAAAGGTTACGATGGCGGACACTGTGGACTCAGAACTATTCTTGCTTCCTGTTTTTGCCTGTACTTAGGTCCAGCCATTTGGTTCAGGATGAATACACATCCACAACGTCCTGACTAACAGACATGCACAACTTGGGCAGCAGCTCACCGGAGCAGGGTGAAGAAGGAGGGGTGTTTTGCCGGACGGACAGTGGCCACGTGTTATTAATAGTGTCACAGCAGGGCCAGGCACACGTGGAAAGTGGACTCTGGGATTAGAGGCGGAGAGCCTGTCGAGGGGTACAGGTAACAACAAGGGCTGTGGGGTACTCACCGGTTCATGGTGTGGCTCGGTCTCCTTCCTCAGAGGGGGGTCGAACTTAACCTGCCCAACTGCGAAGAAAGAACAGGGACGGTTCACTGTTTTCACCCCCAACAGTGAAGACTCGAAACAGAGAGTCTGAACCTCAGATATCCCCCCTTCAGCCAGTCACCGAGAGCTCCAGAGCAGCAGCTGTGCCAGGTCTCCTTCAGTGTCTGCATGTTAAGAGCTAAAGTAAAAATCCCAGACCCATTCAATTTGGAACACCCTTCAACGACTGTTGAAAACTCCTAGAAACCTTGCTATATCGCTGTTCTGGAGGTCCAGGAATGGAGACCTCGGGTATATACTGATCTAGCATTCTAAATCCACACCCATGAAGGCCTATCAGAAGAACACTGTAAACCTAAGCCGCATGTGCTGTAAAAGGGATTTCCTGGAAATAGCTAAGAACATACATCACATTTATTAGTGGATTTTAAACTTGTCAGGGGAAATACACTACAGATATTTCACAGTGAGCTCAGACCACAAACTGGCATTCATGAATACCGGATGCCTAAAATGTTACTTGTGTCAGAAGAAAAAAAGGTCCACTGAATTAGAGAATTATACAGGTTTACTGTTCTTTAGTCGGGTTGTTTTATTAGATTATTTGCAGCAGCAATGCCACACTACGCTGTAAATACTGGAAAACCCTTCAATTGTGCTGGATTCAAGCCTTTCTCCAGATGGAAGGTCAGATGGACAGCAGAAAATTATTGTAATAGCTGCAACAGGACATCATAACCGTGCTCAAAGGTACTTGAATTTTACATGACTGTGATAAATAGCAGCCTTTAGGAAAGAAAAGTGCTACTCGCTGTCTGACAACTCCTATGCATTTAAGAGATGACGTGCGTGGAAAATGTGTCCATCAAGGAGCTACTTGTATCCTTTAGTAAGAGAAATAGAAAAATAAAAACTACTGGAAATTGTGATAAGAACAACAATTTATATAATTGCACTGAGATGTACTGTAGTTCTCAAAATAAAACAACCTCCACAGATCCTCCACATATGTAGGTGCAGTATGGGAGTCTATACATGAACAGGACACATGACTACCTTAAAATGTCAAACTATTTTAGCTTACAGACAGTGTTATCTACTTAATTGCTTTAAGAACAGTTCGAACATCACATTTTTGAGATACTGAGCGGAACTATGGAATTGGACAGGAAGTGCTTAAAAAGCACTGCAGATAAGAAGACTACAACACTGAAACCTCTTAATGAGGCAGCACGCAAGCTGCAAATTTCTAAAAATCCAGATGTGCGCTCTTACACGGTTTTTGAAACGCGCGACAACCCAGAACTTACAGTTAATCTCAGAGCGAGTCTTCTCCTCTCGAGCATTTCTGTTGGTTGAGTGGATGCGGTGAGGCACAACTACTGCGGGCTGGAAATAAAAAAAACGACAACAAAAAGTTTAGCACATTTGGCTTTGCTTACAAAAGGAGCAAAGCTACACCTCTAGAGCTGCTCGGTGTGCTCAGAACAAGACGGTAACTAATAATTAATAATTGCTTACACTCCACTCAAAGTGCTTTACAGGTAATGGGGATCCCCTCCACCACCACCAGTGTGCAGCCCCACCTGGGTGATGCAACGGCAGCCATAGTGCGCCAGTACGCTCACCACACACCAGCTCTCAGTGGGGAGGAGAGCAGAGTAATGCAGCCAATTCACAGATGGGGATTATTAGGAGGCCATGATTGGTAAAGGCCAGGGGGGAATTTGGTCAGGATGCCGGGGTTACACCCCTACTCTTTTCGAGAAACGCCCTGGGATTTTTATGATCACAGAGAGTCAGGACCTCGGTTTTACGTCTCATCCGAAGGACGGCGCCTGTTTACAGTATAGTGTCCCCGTCACTATACTGGGGCATTAGGACCCACATGGACCGCAGGGTGAGCGCCCCTTGATGGCCCCACTAACACCTCTTCCAGCAGCAACCTTAGTTTTTCCCAGGAGATCTCCCATCCAGGTACTGACCAGGCTCACACCTGCTGAGCTTCAGTGGGTTGCCAGTTGTGAGTTGCAAAGTGATATGGCTGCTGGTACAGCAGAACTACAGAACATTCTATTATTGATAGGAAAGTCTTTCGCATGATCAAAGCCTAATGGTTATTCTGCATCAAGTGAAACAACATGCAGCTTGGCAGACAGGAGCTTCTTACCTCGGGCAACTTCACAACTCATTGTACCAGAAGAGCTTCTGAAACATCCCGCCTCAGGTTAAAATCCCCACACCCCCACCAAGTAATGACATTAAGTTACAGTAAATGAGGATGCTGTTTTTTTTTCCCCCAGAGAAAAACACACAGCAGGCAAAAATAAATAAAGCAGGATTGCCTGACATGAGAGACAACAGAAATGTTTCACAAAGTTTGTATGCGACTGAAAAGTGCAAATGCATGACCTCACTGTGATTTGTGAAACACGACGCAGCAATTTTTAGAAGTGGCTTTTGTAACAGCAGGCCAGTGAGCTGCCATTTTATAACAGAACAGAAATAAACAGAAATATGATAGAATAGAGTCCCGCATAACGTGAATTATTTTAAACAGGGATTATTTAAACGAAATGACTTAAGAGTTAAATCTCTCTACTTTCTTTTAACCTGCTGTCTGGGTTATGTTGTGCCCCAAAGGAAATAATTACGTTTAGTTCAATGTCCAACAGACTTGCAGATTTTTTTTATTCCTGTATGCCAAATGGCCATGCCAAAGCAGGAGTTACTAAATTACTGCAGAGCAGATCTGCCAGAGGCTATAGTCCACCTTTAAATCTGGTATGAAACAGATTACCTAATGTTAGCTTGTACATTTAGCTACATCCATGATATGGTATCCGGTATCTACCACGATATATTGGTTAACACTAATATCCCAAAATGCGACCAATCAGTAATCTTTTTGTTTGCTGGATTCTAATTGTTCTATTAAAAATTCTTCATTTCTAAAAAATGAAAGAGGAAGTATTTTTTCTGGCTAACAAATGGGTGGTATGGTAATGGTACATTTAAATACAGAGCCTTGAAAAAGTATTTAGTTTAGCCCCCCACACATTTTTCACATTTTGTTGCAGCAGATTCTGAATTTTGAAATAGACTGAAGTAGGATTTTTTGGCAGTGAGCACCGAGCACTGTGTCAAAACAAAATAAACCTTCCAAAACGTTTTCACAATTTACTAAAAATGAAAACCAGAAATGATTCAATTTAAAAAGTATTCATACCCCTTGTAACCCTAATCTCAAAGTTGCTTGGGTGTCACGCATTACCTCAAAAGTCTAACAAGTTTTGATTGACTTCGTCTGCGTAACAAATTATTAGATCACCTGTTGTCAATTCTTTTGTAAATATAAACACGTCTTTCTGTGAGAGCCTACAAAGCATGGTAGACACTTTCAAAAAAAGACTTGAAATGAAGATGAAGGAGCATTTCAAACAAGTCAGAGATGATTCTAGAAAGGCACAAATCTGGGGAAGTGTACAAGACCATTGCCAAGGAACATCCCCAGAGCTCAGTGCAGTCCACTGTACAGAAGTGGAAGAGTAAGAAACTACAGCCACACTGCCTAAATCAGGCCACCCCCCTAACCTTAGCTGCCAGACAAGAGGGAGACTTAATCAGAGAAGCTACTGCGTGGGCAACTGTGACGCTGAACAAGCTACAGGGGTCAGTGGCTGCGATGGAAGATAATGTACATGGGTCAACAATCTCCAAAGCATTCCGCAAAAAGAGCCTTTATAGGGGGGTTAGAAGGAAGAAGCCCTGGCTGAAAGAAACCCCCATCCATGCCCTCAAAGAGTTGGCAAAACGCCACCTGAAGACACTGCAGTGATGTGGCAGCAAGTCCTGTGGTCTGATGTGAATAAAGTAGAACTTTCTGGCCTGAATGTTAAACGGTATGTATGGCACAAAGCAAACACTACACACCAGCCAGGTAGCACCATCCCCCCCACTGTGAAGTATGGAGGTGGCAGCATCATGTTATGGGGAGGCTTTCCAGAGGCAGGGACTGGTAATCTTGTCAGGATGGATGGGAAGATCAATGGTGCGCATTACGGAGAAATCCTGGACAAAAAACCTGCTACCTTTTGCAGAAAAACTCAAACTGGGGAGGAAGGTTTTCTTTCAACAAGGCAATGATCCAGAGCACACCTGCCCAGTCCGAGTTCCGACCTTGATCCCATCGAAAATCGGAGGTAAGACCTCAAACTTGTCGTCCATTGCCGCACATCAACTAACCTGACCCAGCCTGAGCAGTTTTGCAAGAGAGATGGGCAAATATTGCTCCATCTCAGTGTGCAAGGTTAGTAGAGACTTGTCCAAAGAGATTCCTGGCTGTAACAGCTGCCAGAGTTGGTTCAACTAAGTATTGACCAACGGGGATGAAGACTTATTAAATGATGATATTTCAGTTCTTTTATTTTTAATTAATTCATGGTTTACAATCCATCTTTTTCGGGGGGATTCTAAGAAGATGAACGTGTGACTCACAAATAAAAAATACCATTAAAAAATACATTTGCTTATGCATTCTTAAGTGTGAAAAAAGGGATGGGGGCTGAATACTTTTTCTAGGCACTGTATATATATCATTTATACAGGTGAAAATCCAGCGTTTAGAACAATCAGCTAAAAATGCTACTCGACAACTTCGGATGCCGACGTTTTCCTTAGACGTCTGAAACTGCTGAACCTCAGGGAAGAAAAGTGACTCTGTCAAAGTCTATATGGGCTTGTTATGAGCTATGAGATACAGATGTAGGAAGAGAAAGGCTTGTAGTGCAAAACGCACAAGTCTTTACACTCAACAGTTTCTCCACAGAAACACCCAGAGGAAGCAGCCGTCCCCACTCAATATGCACCCAGTCCTGAAATAAGGGCCGGCTGTCTTGTGTTGGTATTACTCCCTAATCCTGAAAAACCTGTGTTTATATTATGTAAAGGTATTTTCAATGGCAATTTCCTTAAAATCAATCTCATGGGGTGGCTTTTCTGTTTGGTAAGAACAAAAAAAAGAAAGAAGAGCCATTGGGAACTGCATCACTAACACTTAAAGTAACCATATAGCACCTCAACCTGCTAAACCACTACTGGATCTCACCACTTCCAGACAGTGTTTATTAATGTGCTTCTGTGAATGAATGCATTGTTTTGCCCACCACATTTTAAGCACAGATAAATATTAGGTGCAAAAAGATTAGATAAGAACCTAGTGGCACGGACAGTTAAAGAACCCAGTGTCTATGGCTTGTTCCTTTTATCTGCTTTCACTGCGGCTGCTGTGGATTATGAATGCTTTTCAATTATTCCACATGGTGTGGTTCTCTGTTCAATAAAAGCAAACATTTCTGAAATCCAGATGACCCACATATGTGTTATCTCTCCTGACAGGTTAGTTTCACCCAAACATATTTGCACAAAACATTCACGGCACCATATTCATCTCTAGGGGTTTTCAAGATCAGGAGTCAGAAATAATTAATATTACACGATTCCCACCCTCAGAAAGCACACGCACACACTCCAGAAAAATGCTTATGCGAACACAAAAGATAACTTTTTAATTTTTAAATGTCAGTATTCAAAAGCGGTTTGAGAGGGTTACGTTGCTGCCATCGCCCCAGGTCATGTTAATAAACCCACGCTGCAGTAAAACACAAAAAGAGAGGCTTTAGGCAGGAGCACAGGGCTGAAATGCAGGATGTGGCACAGCTCAGACAGTCAGGCCTGGTACCTTTCTGTGGGCAGCGAAGCGCAGGGCACGCCGAGACAGAGGGGTTACAGGAGAAAAGACCCCCAAATACTTAAACTGAACCAGGAGAGAGAGAGGAGACACACAACAGCCAAGACAAAAAAAAAGAAATAAACAATAATCCCAAAGCAGGCAGAAACAGCTTTTCTTTTGGAAGAGTATTAAATAACAGTAACTCGCAGTTTCTCAGGCAGTTTATGTCCTTGCCAAAGTTAAATGTGAAACCCGTACCTAACAAAGCACTACGTGAAAAGAGCTTTAGAGGGAAGAATGATTAAAGACCAGTCTGGACTACAATTTTAAGCCAATCCCAAATTTCACACGTTCCGTACCCTCTACCGGGGAGCAACATTTCACTGGCCAGGCCACGTTTGGGACTGGCCTCAGACAAGTCCGATTGAATAAGAAACAGACTGCAGGAGCAGGATTCCGATTCACAGAGAAAGACTAAAAACACACAGAGAGAAAGAAAAACGAGGCAGGGTTGTACCTCCGGATCGTCGTCATCGAAGTCCTGGTAGGTGCTGTGGTCTGGGTTGCTGGCCTTATCCAGCAGCTCGATGGCAAGGGTCCGGCTCAGGGGCTGGGTGACAAAGGGGTGCTGTTGAAGAGAAGAGCATGTTTCAGCACAAACACACCCCACGGCTCAGCTCAGCAAACAGCAAACAGCGTCTAGAATCGATCCTCCTACGTAACACATTACCTGCAACAGTTTCTCAGCTGTTGGCCTTTTCTTGGGGTTTTTCGTCAATGACATTTTAACAAAATGGTGGAAGTTGTTGGTCCTTCAAAATTAAACAATAAGAGAGATTGAAGAGATACGCAAGATTAAACAACCCTTCGCATTTTTTGTTCCCCAACTACTTTATTTCTCCATGTTCTTGAGCTAATACCTGACTGGATATTAACAGCAAATAACTAATCAACAAATAACTAATAAGAAAACCGCATGTCTGAGCACATAAGATGATAACTTACGGTGACCTTGCAGAAAATTGCTTCTAAAATATCAGAATGCATGCGCCGTACTGTCATATTAAATACGATCAAATACTCACCATTTTAGCTTGTCTTTCAGTTTAGGGGGCTGAAAATTACTTTTAGTCATCAAGAACAAAGCCCTGCGAAAAGAAACATTGGCTTGAGAAAAGAGTTCACCGAGCTTATTAAGAAAAACAGAAGAACACCATCCTACTGTACTTTGCCAAGACAGAGCTGCACAGCCCATAGCTCCGGCAATCCAGTTCCTGCAGTAAAACAAACTCCACCGTTCTTTCACTGGCACTTATCGGAATTAATATGGCATGGCTACACAGTCTGCGAAGTGCCTTCATCCGCTGGGAAAACTCTATCAGAATGACTGTTTTAACCATGCTTGCAATGACCTCTACCTCCAAAACGTGTGCACCTTGATCCCTCAGGCATGGTAGTGCCTGCTGCTGTGCTCTCAAGTGGTGATTAAAATTAAATTGAAGTCATTAACTGCTCTTCTGCAACACAGACCTGGAAAAACCTAAAGGTTGTCATTGTCATTAAAAGGCTCAACCCCCACGTCCCCCTCTTCTGCAGAGCTCCAGACACACCTGCCAGTCTCCCTCTTTTTCCACTGCGTGGCCCACAATAAAGAGCTTGCACACTGACCTCATTGGGTGCAGGTCAAACATGGGTGGCTGGAGCTCGGCCAGCTCTATGGCAGTGATCCCCACAGCCCAGATGTCGCACAGCTGGTTATAGCCGCCTTTTCTCTCCACAGCAGCCACTTCTGGAGCCATCCTGAACAGCAGAGAGATTTTTAGTAACCCCTTAAGTGCAGCAATCCAACCTCTCTTTCCACTGCGCGATCCCCTCTGCTTGTGTCATTTTCATTAGCAGATCTGTAACTAGAAGGTACACTCCAGACACAACTGGGAAGGGCTTTTAGATCTAACGAGCAACTCTCCTTGAAAAATACCGGGGGATGCTCCACCACGGTGTCTAAATCACCCCAAGGTAATGTAAGCAAACGCTGTCGGCTCAATGAAATTTACAAAATGACGATCGTTCCCTATCCTTTCTCCTCCCGAGTAACTCTCACAGGTCTGATCCAGACAGGTCCTGTAAATTTTAACAGAATTATCACAAGACAAAATAAAATCACATATTGTAATACCAAAAAAAAAACTGTTTCGTCTGACTGCGCACTGGGCCTGTTTCAGAAATGCACAGGTCCTTCTTACAAGTCAAAGCTGGAGGGATTTTATCTTGACAACCATTTCCGCAGAATCTGAATGGACCTCAAAAGGAAACCAGGAGAGGAAACAAAGTATCAAGTACCAGTAAGGGGTCCCGATGAAGGATTTTCTCTTCGCTAGTGTTGCCGTTATCTGTGCGGAGACTCCAAAGTCAGCTTTAATACAGAGATGTAGTGTTAGACACTGGATGCACAGACACACTCTAGCTCTCAAGAAGTGATTTAAACTGCAATCATTTCATCACGGCCTTTCTACAATATGGGGAAATAGTACATTTTTTTAAAAAACAACATGCAGTTGAAACCATGTTAATGCAGTGAAAATTATTTGAAGGGACCAGAAGCAAAGTTAGTTTCGTTTTGTGTCAGGGCCCAGTAATTAATCTCACATAACGACTGGTGCCAGAGAGAATTAAATCTAGTAAATAATCTCATTCAAGCCTACATCTTCCACAGAAGTATTCCCTATCAACCAACCATTAGCAGTCACTGAGTCTTCACTAAATCCCACCACGTCTCCTCCTTTATAGCCTGATCTGGTCCGATCTCAGAAGCTAAGAAAGATGGGCCGGGTCGGTCCTGGGACCCAGGAGACCTCTGGGAATGGAAACTGGTTATGTTGGTGGACCAGTAGGCGGCGATCTCATTTTCAGAATTTCCAGACTAATGCCCCACCATAGTTTGGGACACAGTAATGGAAGAGGTGTTGTCCTTCAGATAAGGTGGTAAACTGAGGTAATGGCTACTGCGATTAAAGATACTCTGGATTTATTTGTAAGAGCTGGGGCATTATCCTTAGTGTACTAGCTAAATACCACTTTGAGCTTACACATAATGGCCTACCTAAATTTACTCCTTAATTCAACTGATGAATTTGTCACTTTTCCACTTAATGCAGTGGGGCTGCTGGTGCATCACCCAGTTGTGGTGGCACTTCCATGGTGGATGAAGTGGGTTCCCTCCTACAGTATGTGTAAAGTAAGGATCCTCTGGTGAGTACAGCACCAGAAATCCAACATACTGTCTTGTGGATAGGTCCAGCTCACCACATAAAAGCCCATTTATTTGGCCCGTTTAGCAGCAGCGTTCAGAGCTACTGGCTGGACATCAAAGTGCTATTCAACTAGTGTGGTGAACTGGAGTTCCTGAAAATAATAACTGCAATACCAAATGCAATAGGGTATGAAAAATGATAGGGCTGGAATTGTTTCAGCAATTTTACTCAATTTTATTACTACTGATTTGGTTTTCTATATACAATTATATATATAACACTTTTACTGTCCCAAATCTTAGGACTACCCAAGACAAAGGTATAAAAAATAAGGAAAGACATAACTGGAATGCTCAATCCCTGCTTCACAACTCACCTGCTCCGATGACAATAAGCTCATAATTATGAAAGCTGTTACATGTGTGTATTACACTTCTCGTTTTAGAAACCCTCCATTAGCAGGTTTAACACATTGAATGTGAAAAGGCAAATGGTATTCGCAGTTTTGTCCTTTGTTTTTCACAGGCTGTCAATACAGATATACAGGTGCCAACCCTCAGAGGTCTGAAATGTGTAATATTGATGCCAGGGTATCAAGCCTACAGCCCACAGGCCAGGTCTGGGTAGCCAGACACCACTTATTTGGCCATGTGGCAGAAGTGGTCAGAACCATTGTCTGAGGCTGAGTAACCCTCCCATAAAGCAGATGCCCTTGGTGCTGCTACTGTATCAGTCTCACACACACCCCCTGCTCCCTGCAGTTCCCCACCTCTATCCAATCGCGGTGCCTCTGTTTGATGATGTCACAGATCTAATCTGACAGGGGAGTGCGTCTTTGTCTCAAAAGGAGATAAAAATAAGGGCCTCGTAATTGTGTTATTAAAGAAAGGAAAAAGTCTTGTGGTTCAAGAATAGTGGAAGAATTTAGATCTCTTTGTAGAAGTGAATGGAAAACTAACATGCTTGATTAGTACATCGGCTTTCGCCAAATAATAGCGATAGGTGTAGAGAATCTTTGCGATTTGGTACTCCTCATTTCTAACAAATGGCGTCTCACGTTTTCATTGTATATTTTAGTCATGAAAAGTCCTATTAACCTTGTCTTTTTCCCCCATTTCTCCTTCCTAGGTAATAACAATATAATTTTGCTGTGTTGAGTTGCTCATTTATTTAGGCTCATCACTGGTCAAAATATGCCAACAATATTCTTTTCAACAAAACAGAGATTTCTGTAGTTCACAATTATCACAACTAAGATACAGTATGTGAAATAAATACAGTCAATAATGCTAATAAATACCCCGTACTCAGAAGTAATGAGCAAGTTCTGCTAAAGTGGCATCTAGTAAAGAAACAATGACTGCTAATTGCATTTTAAAGGGAGGAATTTCATTGTAAAATGCACACAAATGCAAAATGCTACAAATAAATAATACTATATAGTGGTTGTGCATAGTTGTTTGATTTTGATTGTTTATGGTTCAAAGAAATGAGTTTGCCATCCCTTTGTTAAGTGTTGTGACATATTCAGCCTAAACCTAAACTTGTAGACAAGTCCTAGTTATGTCAAACAAGCTAACTCAACCAGCTTGGTTTTCAACGCTCACAAACTGGAAGACCAATCACATTTTATGAAGTTTAACAAATATTTAAAGATGCAAAAGGAAAGACGCTTCCATGTGCTTACCTAATTTCACATACCCATTGTCCGTTAACAGAATATTTGCTCCCTATAAAAGAAGATGTTGGAGTGTTAGAACAAAGATATGTAATTTAACAAAGCAAAATCCTTTTGGAAGGGCTAAACTATTTCCAACAGATCAGCAAAGTAGATCAAAGATGTCTTCCAAATTCAAGATATTCAAAGATGTTTGTTTCTTAAACAATTGCTAAAAAACAGCACACTAGTGGCATCAATAAGTGTGAGCTGACCAACTGCATTACCTACAGTACATGGAATTTTGGTGTTTCAAGTCAAGTGTACCCATCTTATTTTAATATGTCCAGTTACATTACAGTTCAACTTCAAAAAGTCCTTCTTACAGTTGGAAAAGGCAGAGAAAAAGGGGGTTGGGCTCACAAAATAGGAAATGCAGCAAAATACACGATAAAGAAAGACTCAAAATACTTATAGAGATATAATGCAAATCCAAAATAGACAACAGAATGAGTTAAGTTTAATGCTGTGGCTTGAGCACTCATTAAAAGAAATTAAAAAAAACATAGTCTTCATAGAACTGCAGGAGTACGAACTGATTGGCAAACCATCCAGCACAAGTCGCGAGTCAGCTTTACCTTAATGTCTCTGTGCATTTTTCCTTTGTTGTGAAGATAGTACAAACCCTGGAAGAAACAAACACAAACGTAATAGCACATTAAAAAAAACAAACCTACTCTCCTTAACAAGAGGATCGTTCAATTTCTAAGTGTTGGCTGTTCTATTAAATCACAAAAGTTATTACAAAAGTTTAATGACTTCTTGTCTTATCTGCATACAGAAAATAGAAACGAACAGTCTGCTTGACAGTTAATGAACAGAACAGCCAATCTATCCAGCAGTGGAAAAACACAATGACACAGCAAAAGACAATGTTAGACTCTTTTGTGTTAGTTTCCTTATATAATCTAAATACCTTTAATTTAAGTCCCGCTATTCTTTTTTTAATTAAATCAGGAAAGTGAGTGGATAGTCTAGGTTTATTCACAGGCCTTGCAATAACTGATAAGAAACTAAATGTAAGTGGGTTTAGACTTATTTACACAAGTACATCAATTGAAAATGTGCATGTTAACGGGGAAAATACCTGTAGTGTTTCTCGTGATACATAGGCAATTTGCGATTCTGACAGAGGTCCAGTCACTGGAAAGAGAATAAAGCAGAATATTGGGCAAAGGGAACAAAATAAAAATGGTTACAACTCTTTTTATTGAAGTTGAAATGCACTGAAGGATTTTATTGATGCAAAGGAACTAAAAATGCAACTTTGCAAAAAGTCATTCAGAAATTGTGAAGCATAGAGAGTACAATCTAGGTCTCAAATTGACTAAAAACAGATTGAAGACTTTGGATTTCAAGAACTGAAATAAATGTATACCTTTCTAAGACTCCAAACAATCTAAGAAAGGCTGGAGCACAAAAGAAACAGTATCAACTGCAAGCTGCAGAAATTACCGCTGATTAGAACCTAATTAAAGACGTTTTCAGGAAATATACAAGTAGGCTGAATGAGGGCCACAGAGCTCAGAATGTTTTCTGTGCCGAACAAGAAGCCAGCAAAAGCTTCTGTATCTAAAGAGCACTGCATGACTCTCTGGGGCTGAGAAGACAAGCCAAACTCAAGCAGGCTGTGGGAGCAATTGACATATTAAGAGGCGAGTAAGATGTTAACAGGACACTGACAATACCGGTCATGACCAAAGGAGCAATAGACACAAGGGTGTGTTCTCCTCCTGGCAACTCAACATTCCATAATTACACGCCTTGGTTGTTCTCATTTGTAAAGACCTGCAGTTCCGCCTGAAATTCTTTCCTGCCCTCAGATGGTTGGGTAAAATATTTTTAGAAACATCCGTGTAAATAACGGAGATTCCAGGCACAACAGCATCACAACCCCAATCGCATGCCAAGCCAGGACACTTTAAATAGATGAAGCAGTTCAAACCGCCTCTTGTTAACTAATGTAGCCATACTCCAGATCACCCTGCATTTGATGTGGAAGAAGTAGCGGTACTAATTATTGTTCTGACTGCCACTATGGCTAGAATATAATAATTTCCTAACTGTGCTGAATTCTTTGAAAGGACTGTAGAACGACAGTAGCAACTCCATCAGGACTGAAGGGAGTTCCAACTGAATACCACTTGACTGAACTAGAACAAAATCTGTTCTTCATTATCTGAAAAGTATATAAAGTATTGCGTTTAGAAAGGTATATTAAATATTTAATAATAAAATGATCATGAAAACGGTCAGCTCAAAACATCCTTTGTTCTGTTACCTAAGACCACCACATCTATTTATTTTTTCTGTTTAAAAAGAAAAAAAAGTTTGCAAAAAATACCTTCAAAACCAAATTTAAGGTTGCGATATTAACTTTCAAGGTTCCCCGTAGCAGTTGCAGCATGAAAGGCATTAGCTTACATCAACAACACAATTTCATCGGAAGAACAGCATTTCAGATTCGTAACAAGAAGGTTTTTCTGCACAGGTAATGCTCCAATTCAATGAGAGTCGAAAACACTGGACTGATTTGTTACAATCTTTACTTAAAACTCTGACCTAATGGCACTAATTGTGTGGCTCAACAGATCTCCCCTGGGAGACGAGCTGAGACTGGACACGCTGCTCACAGGCTGCAGCAGTGCCGCCCACGTCGGCCTGCGTTTCCAGCCAAGAACCCTGCGCTCACAGCTGGACCAGGACTCGAACACACACCGGGATCAAGGGAGAAGGCCACACACTCCTGTACGCAGAATCCAGGAGGTGTGCCCATTTGCTGAAAGACACATCTGTACAACTCGTAGGCTGCTTCTCAGTGTGCTCTGCATCAGGGACAAGCTCTGCTGCCTCCAAACAGCCCCAGCCTGACTTTTCCCCCTCACTGTTTAACTCAACTCCAGACTTTTGTCTTTGCGATTTTGCCAATCTGTGAAATCAATCTTTGAGACAACCAACAGCTTTCAGACTCTGAAGGCATTTTTTTTAAAAGGATTTGGCATTTTTCTTTAAACAGAAGAAATACTACTCCTTTAGGTCCAGATCCCAGCTCTGGCATTTACCATTACAGTATTTCACCACAGATGTGTGCAGCTCTCCTCTTCTATCCTGCCTATTTTGGTTTGTGTTGTTCAGGGCTCAGTATACAGGCCACTCTTTTAGAACCCGAGGGTGAGTTAATGATTAAGACTTAAGAAAGGTTCTGGACTAAAAGAATCCATTCATCCTGTCTCGCCTGTTTGTTAGTAATTAACTGATCCAAGGATCTCATTCAGCTGCTTCTTGAACGAAGCCAAGCTTTTGACTTCAACAGCCTAGCTGGGAAGCCTGCTCCACACTGCATAAAGAAGTTTCTAGTGATAAATTCTCTCAGACTTAAAGGGATGTCCACATAGTTTCCCCTTGCGTCTTCTGCTTCTGTTTCACTGAAGACATTCACTGGGCTGATTTTGTCAGTGTCTTTGAGGATTCATAATTCTTGGATTTGGTTTCTTCATAGTCTTCTCTGTCACTGCAGGATATTCCTTTGATACCCACAAATGTCTACATTAAACATCATACCCCAGCTGTTTGCCTCATTTTAAATTATTGTACTTGTCAGCTCAATAAACTGCTATCATAATGGCAAACATGACACTGGTCTTCTCTTACTCCTAATTTACTAACTCCTCCAATTCATTTAATAAATCTGTTTTGTCTTTCATAACCTAAAAGGCCCCAAATTTGTGATGTCAGAGGAGAGACCTAATTCCATTCTCCCTTAAAATGAGAATTTCAGCCTCTGCTTAAGAAATACTTCAGAAAACAAAATAGTAAAATACACCAATCTTACCGTGATATATGTCCTGTAGTGAACCTCCTCCACAATATTCCATGCATATCCATAATTTATCTCTCCTGAAAAGACACCACAAATCCACATACATGAACATTTTATGTCTTTCCACTGCGTCCAGAAAAACGGGCATTACCAAAACGAAAATCATACTCAATATAAATCATACTCTCTTCTACAGTTAGCACAGGAGAGTACAAATAACAGTTTCGGTAATCTTAACACTCCACACATACAGAGTGTGGCAGATAATTGAAGCTCTCGAACTAGCTTCACAATACGGTCGTCTATCTGTAAGTGTTGTGGCAGTTTCAAATTAGGTTCAGAGCCTTCAGGCAGGAAAGGAAGTATTGCTGCTCTTGTTAACAGTGATAAGACGCTGCAGTGAGGGGGGTCAAACCTGAGATAGCTGCCGAAATAAGCCACAATGTTCGAGTGCTTGCAGTCCTTCATCATCACTATCTCCTGCTGCACGACGGCGAAGTCTTCACCTGCAGAAGAGAGGAAGTGCACAGGTTGGATATCACTCGAGTGGAGCTAGGACCACACTGCCCCACTTCCCCTCCGTGCCAGTCTCCTAATGGCGGCCAAAAGCCACCGGGACTCGACTGGCTTGGACTCGACAAGGTTGATCTGCACGTCCCGAGGCGTGGCGGAGGTCCGGCGTCGTTATAGCTGGGTGCCCGTGGGGCCGGCAGGCCCTCAGGGAGCTATGGCCTTCCTCCAGCTGCGTCTGCCCCGGTTCCTGTAGCGTCAACGCACACTGCCAGACCAGCAGGGCATTCCACTGAAGTCCACTGCCGCGTGGCATCACAGTTCCTCGGGCTAGCCCTCTCCTCCTTCACAATATTCCATGCGTATCAATAATTGACTTGCCTCTCCTATCTGTAATTTATCTCAATAGTACCTATTTTAGAAGACGTAGCTCTTTGACATTAGGTCTTGGAGATACTTCGGCGGTTTCTAGTCACCTTCATGCAACAAATACTTCATGCTAGACTACCACTGATGGTGTTGGCTCTCCCTGAAGCCCAACAATGCTTTGACCTCTGTAGTGCTGCTGGCGATTCCTCCCATTTGCCGCAGCCTGTCACCCTGTACAGGTGTTCTACCCACAAGCAGTGAGACTGGCGAACACATTTAGCCATCCCCCTCGGACCACACCTACACCATCACCATCTACCTCTTTATGATTTCTTATCTATTGCACATCTCCAGTCATTGTTTACACGTCTGTATTGTTTACATTCAAACTGTCTACATGTTTACTTGCACATTGTCTATTGTTTGTTTGCACATTGTCTTGATGCACTGTTTGCACTTTGTTTTGTTTTTTACACTTGTTTTACAATCGAGAGACTTTCTGTAAGTAAGAATTCCATTGTACCAGTACCGTTCACATATGGCAATAAAGTTCAAGTTCAAGTTCAAGTGTTTTCAGTCTCAGTGACAATCTACTGTTCTCACACACCATTACCACATAGGAACAGAATGAACAGCACAATCGCTTGTTGAATATCCATATTTAGGCATACCTGAAGCCAAAAAATAAATAAAGCATTATCTTAAATTTTCAACGCACGTGCAGAGGACTTCTAAAGGTACTTGAATTTCACAGCATGGTTACACAAATATTAACAGTTTTAAAACGGGTTTAAGCAGAAGGCACAACGACTACACCCTTAACAATAACATTTACAAGTACCTGCTCTGATCCGCCACAAAACTGTTTGAGGAAAACTAACCTTCGCGGAAAACAAAAAGAGCAAAAAGAAAACTCCACTCTTGTAACGTGTGCTACAACAATGACTTGTTTCTAGAGAATCTTCATTGAATCTGGCCTAACAGTCACTGCGGTAGCCTGGTTTGATAACTTTAACATACACAATATAAGAGACAAAAAAGAATTGTGAAGGTAGCCAGCAAAATTATTGGTGCACAACAACTACTGCTGCTTTCAGACATCCATGTCAAAAAAACAGGGCAGAAGGCCAATCTCACTGACTATCCTGACCTCCTCTTGCACAGTGAATTTGAGCTCCTTCCTTCTGGGCATTGATGTAGACTACCTCGACTGGAGAGCAATAGAAATAAGTAATCGTTTACTCCCTCAGCTATTAACCCGCTCAATTTGGACAACTGATTGAAAATTTTACTTTATACTGTATATGTTTTTCTTTTTCATCTACATGTCTATTATTTGTTAATGGGTCCATGTTGTGTTAAATCTATTGTGTGTTTTACTTGCCTGCAAAAGCAAATTTCCCATCTGGGACAACGAAAGGAAGCAAGTAAACATATTCATCATATCTTTAAAGTAAGTCACAGCTTACGAACACATCTGAACTGAACAGGAAAGAGGAACCTCAAAAAATTATTATGAAGTAACTGACCAATGTCAGCTCCATACAGCAAGTATGGATATTGTATAATCTAATACAATAGCCAGTGCTGTGACCATATAAACGTGAATTAATATACTGTGCAGAAACAATATTAAGTTAAAATGCGAAGACCACCTTATTAATAGTCAAATGAGTAGTTCATGCATTGCTGTCGTTACAAGATAACAGCTATAGTATCTCTTTTAGATAAAAGAAGATCACTTTATTAGCCATATACAATTTCTTGCATTAGGAATTTGTCTTCTTGCATACCCCAGCTTGCTCTCCATGAGACACACAGACTGGGAGAGAAGCAGGTGGGGTTAAGGGCCTGGCTCAGGGGCCCAACAGAGTAGGATTCCTCTGCCGGCCACGGGACATGAACCAGCAACCTTCCAGCCACAGGCTCAGATCCTTAACCACAGTGCCACCACTCTGTGAACACAATTTTTGGGGTTTTCCTTAATAAACTTAGAGTTTCTTCCAATATATTATCAATACCGTCCACCTATGATTATTCATTCACTCGGGTTCTTTCTGCTCACACCTCACCCAGTTATTGCTGTGTCTGTGGGCTCTGGAAATGGCTGAACAAAGCTTCAGCAAGGAAACTATCGAATGATGCACATTTACTGGTTGACCAGAAATGCACTTAAAAATCTATAATCTGACCAGCCTAAGGGCTGAGAGAATGGCCTGGACAATTCAGCAAGCACAGCAGCCAGTTACAAGGGTTTAACTGCTGTTGTGGGGTTTGGGCTTTCTTTAGTGTGTCTCTGATGTCAGCTGACATTTGACTCCACCACACATTTCTCAAAAGCTCCGTTTGCTGTCACTTCACAAACCAGTGAAAATACTGGGCCCTCCCACGTCAATATGACAGAAACATGCATTCCAAACCCTGGCACAAAACGGAGGACACAAAAACACAGCAGCAGATAGTGGGCTGGACTTGTATATCAAGGAGGGAATTAATCAGAAGCCCACTGGAGATGGACCATAGGCATAGATAATGGAATGGTACCATGATTGGAAGTGCTCGTTTTAATTTCAAAGTAATTACAATTAAATGTATTTTATTTTATTTAAATAGTATAAGTATAACCAGCATTCCCCATTTAAACTTAAAAGGTACGGTATCTCTTAGTGACAACAAAGGTAAATCTCATAAAAAATGATCACAAGTTTCAGAACAAGAGTTAGGGTAAGTGCACCCTATAAACAATATGGTTTCTGAATATACAGTGACTTCTTTCTATCTATACTGTTGCTTTTCATCTGTTCCTCCTCCGCAGTTTAAAATTTAATTACATTCTGGTAAATGTGTGGTGGAAAAAAAGGAGGGTATGTTCATCAAAGAACTGCAGAGCTTGATGACAATTTTCACCTACTTACTTTGCCCTCTTCATGAAAATATGTGAGGAGAAGTCGCTGGCTTCAATTAAAAATCCCATTATGAGAAGGTCACCGGAGCTGTGAGATTCTGGCTCTGCGGTAACAGGGGACGATGAAGTCTCACGCCATCGCTGTCACTTGTAGCCCATGCAGAGGACACTGCTGAGAAGCTGTGGCTTCACGACCACAGGTTTCCTCTGAACTAATCACATTTGATGACGTCTTAAGATTCATTCAAATTAAGATAACAGAAATATGGACACCTTTAAAGTGTTCAGTACGCATTTCCCTTATATCAGGACTATGATGAGTGGAACAATCCTGTCCTATCGCCCCTTCATGCCTTCATTCAGGATAGCAGACTCTAACTTGTTTGGAGAACTGTGCTGCACACAGCATTACATGACTGCAAGTCATTGTAAACCAATACAACAACTGGCTCTTCTAAATGCACAGTGCCAAAACCAGTTATTACCCAAACAACTGACAAACGTTTGTGTCATAATTTTTACATAATCATTGAGTGCTATGTGGAGATCAATAATTAATTCCTTCTCTTTACATAACACCTCCATCTCAAAAGATCCCAAAGCTCTTTACACACAGGAGGAGCCCGATGTCATCCATAATGGAAGAAAAGCAGCCGGGGGGAGGTGCCGCTGCCGGGGCTGAATGCCTGCCAAACACTTCCTCGCGTGAAGAGGGAGGCCGGGATCGTGCAGGCTGGGAAGGCTCTTACAGCAAAACGTCCAAACGTCCAAACGACGCTGCTTCCTCGTTCACCACACGGGGGCTTTGGTTTAAAAATCCGGCTCCCGAAAGGACAGCGCCCCCTAGAGGTCCACCCACACCGCCGACAGCAGCCACCTGGTTCTCCCTCCCAGTACTGATCCAGCCCAGGCTTGTTTAGCCTCTGAGACCGGAGGGTATCAGGCTCCCAGGCAGGATCCACAACTTAATCTTGATGATTAATGAATAATTTTAATGATTAATGAATAATTTTAATGATTAATGAATAATTTTAATGAAAAGCCGACGTTTTTCAAGGTCTTGACATGAAGGGTGTGAAATGTGACATTACAGGTGTGAAGCTTTTTTAGGTTAAATGAATCTCGGATATGTTGATTCTGCGGCATGCACTACTCTGTCGTATGGTTTTCATCGACAAAATTCAACCTCCAAATTGAACCCTGCAGCTTTTATTTGGTGACACAGCAGAATCTAGAGGGCTTCCCTTCACATCGCCAAATGACAACAAATCAGAGTCACTTCACCACAACCGTTCCTAAAGGAGACATTTTAATTGTGGCAGAACAATCGCAGGAAATGCAGACGCTCCCCGAACGCAACCTCCCTGCAAAATTATTCTGCTTCAGCCCACGGCTTTATCATCTTCCATCTCAGTCACATGAAATCCCTGAAAACCGATGAGCGCAGCTTGCCACGTTTGCAGTTTTCCACAGAGAGCTTTCTCATTCCTCTCGGATTTCCCGTCTGTCCTTGAAGCAGCCCGCCAGGGCAGACAGGGCGGTAAGCAGGAGCCCGCGGCAGATGAGCCGCCAACGCTTAGAAGACGGATCAGTCGATCGAGCAGCTAGTCGGCAAAGCCTGAAGACCGAAAATAATAATAATAATAATCGCTTACACTTATACAGCGCTTTTCTGGACACTCCACCTAAAGCGCTTTACAGCTCATGGGGATCCCCCTCCAC